AGAATATGCGAGATTTGGATGAACTGGGGGCAAAGTCATACATGTATATGGTACACATCAATATCGATGTTAAGGACGCCCGCCGCTTTCCCGTTTACCTGTGAAGTCGTTGAGTGTCATCTGGTTTTTCGGTTTATGTTTATGTTTAATAAAGTAAAAAAAATATTGTGTAAAATTTCGAGACCTAGTGTTTGAAAATTACGGGAGGAATTGGGAAAGAAATTTGAAGGAAACTTGAAATTTACCTTGCAAATAACCAAAAACGAAATGTTTGATAAAGAAGGAACGAGGGCCTGGAAGCTTCCACGAACTTTGAGGAAGTTTATGTGCAGAAATATCATCTTTTGCGATTGAGAATAATTTCCAGATACATGCTGACGTAATGGCATTAATTGCCAAAACAGTATATTATTCAACAGTGACACTACATAATTTATTCTCTTTGGCTTGTGTCGGGCGGATATAGATAAACAAATTAAACCATATGATTGCCATGTAAAACGGAGCTTTTTGAAAAGTTGATGCTGGTCATAACACAAAGTCGATAGCATGAATAATATTATGCGAAGTATTCAATAAGATATAACCATGGCTTCATAAATGTAATGTTTTCAATATTGTATGAATAGTCTGGTCGTTTAACCTTGGAACAGTATATACGTTCCTTGTTAAACCAATAATGAAAAAGTTCCTATAAAAACAAACAGCTACAGGTCGTCGTATGGAATTAAACTCTTAGCAAAAAAGCCACACCCACTAATAAGCTGGGACTGTTGCATTTTTTTAACAAACAAGTGAAAAGTCCAGCGCAATGTAGACCAAAACAGTTTCAACATTCATATATCATTATCATGATCTTGACCTGCATGGATATACATTTAACTTGCAACTGGACGATTAAACAAAACGGTTATTGATGACTGCATGAAAAACTTTAATCTCAGACAAAACCCGAATTTAACTGTTTCGAAAAAAAAACCCGAAGTCCATTTAGTAGTAAAATACGGAAAAATGAAAATTAAATATCTGCAAAATTTTGCCCTGGATACTGTATTTTGGTCATAAAGAAGCTTCTGTCCCAATTTCCCGAAATTCCATTATGTTTGACAAAGATTTTGATGTAAAACAAAACTAACCTCAGACTGAACCTAAATGCTGACGCAGTCAGCGTTAACGCTGACGACGGAATCTAGGATCGCCAAGTCTCGCTTTCGCGAAATAAATTTCGCAAGCTTGACAAAAAGAAGGATGTATGTCAAAAGATCCAAGTAGGCAGTTATTTCACTCATAAATCTTAAAGATCTCCTTGCTTTCGACAAGACGACAATCATTGGGGTTTGTTTTTGTCTAGGGGGGGGGGGGGTACTTTTTTCTAAATTAATTGTAATATACCAATATTTTTTTCACAAATATTATCATTTTTCTACCTATTAACGTGAATTTTCGGAAACAAAAATAAATATACAACAGAACTGTTCATTAAAAGTATGTAATCAAATGCCCAACTATATATATGTGTGAAAATTTACTTCCTGAAGATATAAAGTATCGTTTATTCTGATGTTTATTCTGATTAAAATCTTATAAAATCTCATTGAAATTAATTAGATATTCTGTATACTATATTATGTATGCTTCACGATAAGTAAAAATAAAATGATGAACGACCCATATCCCTCCCCCCTCCTTTCAAAATTGTTAATATCTGATGCATTTGAATTAAGCATAATTTACTTTTCTGTAAATTTAATACAAGCATGCAATCAGGGCTAGTATTTTGAACATATGTTTTAACGGTACCTAACTGTCAGAACATGATTATAATTATTAAGGGTATATTACTTGTGCCTAACTGTCGCCTGGTGAGATTAATAGTTTAGGTAAAACTTTATGATACCATATGGCCTAGGTGTTGATGACTTTTATTTTTATGACCTAAAATATGGTAATGAAATAACACCCGTAACTTCTTGAATATATCTGCTAAGTGAACATCACAGCATGAATCTGTCCATTTTTGCGTGAAGGTGACACTCAAAGTCAGGTGACATATCAAACCTTTTCTTTTGTAATTAAGATAAATTAACATATAACAGTCAAAATAGTTTGTTTTAATCTGTCAGTGTAATCTGATTACGGTAATAACGATGCCGATCCGATAAATCAATAAACTGATAATGCCCCCAGTTCATCAAATCTCGTATCTAATCAGTCGATAACGCAAAATCACGATCGATCTTGCACATGCGCATTGTTTCCCTGAACTAGAGTATTGATTCTTTTTCTGTGCAAATGGATATCGGCCTTTAAAACACCATTTGTACACTAACAAACGTGTATTTATCTTTTACGCTGTCTAGCATGGGATTAAAAGTTTTGTCAATGTGTGTAGGATTTTAATTTTAGAAAGTAACGAACAAGTAAGAAGATCGTCAAAAACCTGAAGGTTGCAATTCTGTAAATACTGACAATGCAATTTCCCATAGGAACTCCCTTTGCGGCTAAAATTGTGACACTTTTACTATGAAGTTTCGTGAAAAATAATATCCCAGAACGGAAAGTTTATATGCACTACTATTTTATTCAAAGGTCAAAATATAGGGCTGTGCGGCATATTTTCAACATTTATATGCCCTGAACTTCTAAGAGTTTAAACTTATACTAAAATTCTATACTACCCTTACCTCCATTTTTGGACCTCCTAAGAATTAAAATTTAGCCGCTACCATGTTTTTCAATACTGGTTACATTCCCAAGTGATGTCTCTATGAGATGAAACACAGAGATCATCAATGGGAACCAGTACGTTAACAAATTAACATACCTATGAATATTAAATATCTCCCCAAAAGAGGCGTGGTTTGAGAAACAGCTGTATTTACAAAGTGCAACCTGAAGTGTATCGGAAAATGAGCTATGCACGATAAAAGAAAATAGTCTGGTGCGTCGATATGAAATTTTACAGAGGCATGTATTATTTGTAAAATTGAATTAGTCTATTAATAACAACCATTTGTAGAACTGATTCTTTTGATCCTTCAAATATGTGTAAAATATTCTTTGATAGTTTCTTTCATTTATACAATTGCAGTATGCTTATAAATACTGTAGATTTGTATTTGATCATTGATTGCATGCATAATGTCCAGTGACAAATATTTCATGAGTTCGTACAAAGAACAAATCAAAAACTTTTAAAATACATTTGATTGGTTATTTAAGGTGATTCGATCTTGATGATATGCATGAAAGTTTGTGAAGCTTACCTCTGAAATAAAGAAATCTAAAAAAAAAGGAAGAGTTATTTTTTTCTTCTTCTGTATTTTACTCATACATAAGCACTTTTTACAGTCAAAATAACAGTTTTAACACCGACAGCAGCAATTGCAAGCGACGCTGGTTCCATATAAGTTTGCACGAATTTTTATAAATCCCTGACCATCTTCGGTTTATATCAGACTCTGATATTGAGGACAACATATACTACCATGGATGTCTTGTCTTTTTTAATACATTTAGATATAAAACGTGTATCTCATATAAAGCCTCATTTATAGAACATTATATATAATATTGTGTCAAGGAAAATATTTGGATCAAAGAAATATTTGGAGGAGGAGGAAGAGGAGAGAGAGAGAGAGACTAATATTTTTCGCGGTATTTGGTCTCGTGTTACTCATGTCAAATTGTGATGGAAGGAAATGTTTCCCCTTCGTTTTATATAGCAGGGTATTCCATAGTGTAATTATATTAGTTACAGTTTTTTTTTTCTATAGGTAAGAAATGGTATACAGTTCGAAATCTAATTATCTACATTAAGTTATAGTACATTTAAAGTAAGTTTATTGCATTGCTAAACGCTTCTCAATCAAGATAAAAGGTTTACAAAACCAATACTATTTTTTGCGACTGAATAAATTTTATTTAGAATAGATAGTTCACGTTCCATTGAACTAAGGGTATTAACAGTCTCCGGGACAAGTTTGCACTTCCGCTGAGTGCAAAAGTTGTCACCTTAATTTTTGGAGTTAAGTCAAAATGAAGTTGATAACTTGGTTGGTATTGATTCCCTGATATTTGTCCTAAAATTTTTTGGCTCTAGCACCACTGTTGAAAAAGTTATGCCCCTTTTTCAACAATTTCCTCAGAGGAAAACTATTTTTCCTCAAGGGAAATCAAATTTCCCTTATGGAAAAAGATTTTTCCTTAAGGGAAACTGTATTTTCCTCAAGGGAAAAAGATTTCCCTTAGGGAATTTGCTGCATTAATATTTCCTTTGAGGAAATTCTATGTCCTATGAGGAAATTTGCGACTTCAAATTTTCCTTGGAGGAAATTCTATTTCCTTTGAGGAAATTTGAGGATTCAAATTTTCCTCTGAGGAAAAACTTTTTCCTGTGAGGAAATTTGCGGCTTCAAATTTTCCTGTGAGGAAATTTTGTCAACAGCAATTTCCTGTGAGGAAATTTTTGACAAACACTTTTCCTTGAGGAAAAATTCAAGACCACAAATTTCCTCTAAGGAAAACATTGTTCTCCAAATTACCTCTACGGAAATTTTTGTTGTTCAATTTTCCTCTATGAAAATTTCATAACAGTAAAAACAGTATGAATATAATTTTTCCTTACACTGAATAATTGATTCAAAAGATAATTAAAACTTTAATAAAATGTTCACTGATGAGAAACATGGCATACAAAAACAATAGGCTAGCTGTTTGAGACAATACAATAATAAGCTACGAATATCATACTATTTGTGATGTTATTAATATTGTGCATATTTGCAGATTAAATAAAATAACCACTTGTCATGTTAATTTAACTTTTCTTCTGTTTAAGCTGCTGCGTACAATTGTTCAATCCCCTACATAACAGTTCAGTGCATAAATAAATCCATCCACCAGACATCTTCCTTCAATTGGTAGAGAATACATTTTTGCAATTTGTTCTTCAAAACATCCTCTGTATATTTGATATGACAGAGCTATGTACATGAATGGATAAAGCGGGTGTTTATTTCGACAAAATATTATTTTTTCTACATTTTTCCATAATCCTTCAGTGAATATGTAGGTTGTTGCAATTACACAATTGTGTTCTTGTGCATCTATGATTGTATTCCATTTTGTTTACAGCCATTTTGTAGAAATTTCCTATTTTCTTTTTCCAGGTAAGCACACATTTCATTTCACATTAATCCAATTAGCACACAATGTAGAAAAGTATTAACCTTAAGTTTCCTCTTCTGTATTGACCTGTTGATGATCATGAAAACCAAGAAGTCTCACCTATAAATACACAATATATAAATTGAGAAAAAAACAGCAATATGAAATAAGCTTATTTTATCATGTTTAATATGAACATTTTGAGAAACTTAAATTTGATATTCTTACTAATCATGATTATGAGTTCTGTTATTTCAGTGCTTTGTGTCCACGACTTAATATCAGTCGTTTTAGTGCCTTGCAGTGATAATGAGTTGAGCCATTTGCAACAGTTTTTACAGTTTGTTTATATGTTGTGCTATTTGAACCACTGTCCTAGATTATGGTTAGGTGGAGTGCTCACAGACATGATTTTTTTATTAATTGTTATTGGCTTTGAACTAATTTGGATTGTTTAAATCTTTTCATGTTGGGTCTATATTGGCTGACTTATAAGGTATGGGTTTTCTCATTATCGAAGGCCGTCATTGGTCTTTAATTGCTTGCATCCACTTCATTGAACTCTGGTGGATAGATAACTCATTTAATACCATACCACATCTTCTTATTTTTATAATAGTCTTCATTCAAGGGCAATCACTTTTATTATATAGAAGTGGTCTTACCATTTAGGCCTTGTTGTCTTCTGTTTATCTTGTTTTGCCGATCATTTCTACTGTACAGTCGTAATTGTTTATATTTTTCTTTATCTTCTATATTTCTTGCCCTAAACTTAAAAAAGGTAAAAACTATAATTTAATGACTATAACTATCATTATACATCAGTATGTGTTTTTCTATATACCATGATATAAAAAAGGAATGAAGTATTTGTGCTATTTCATTCCACAGACTATTTGCCAGTCAACAGTTTCAAAGACATAACCACGGTCAATAGTTTAACAAACAAACATTCCCGTACTTTTTCATCGTGTTCATATTAATTTTTCAATGGACAACAATGACGTGATTAACTATTCTTTCATGATTTGTGTGCTTGACAACATTAAACTCTGAAATATTGTTAATGGTATAATCTGTATGTGTCTGTAGTCAAAATTTTAAATTAATATATTACTTACAGAAGCAATTAAAACAAGAGGCTCACAAAATGAATGTGGTCTAAGAACTTAAAAATTTCTAATTTACCTATTCAAACCATATCATTATTATTTGCTTTTATATATAAATCAGAAATAACCAATTCAAAATGGAAAATTTTAAAGAAAACAAAAGGAAAAAAAAATCCCCCCCCAATATTTTGTGAACCCCCTTATGATTCATCACCCCCAAACTCAATCCCAGCCTTCCCTATGTGGAACAGTACCTTACAGTACAATTTCAGAGAGATCCATACACTTGAACACAAGTTATTGTCTGGAAACAAGAAAAATGCTTGTTTTTTGCCCCCTTTTTGGCCCCAAATTCCTACACGTTTAGGGCAATTACCCCCAAACTCAATCCCAGCTTTCCCTTTGTGATATGGAACCTTGTAGTACAATTTCATAAAGATCCATACACTTACACACAAGTTATTGTCCTAAACCTAGAAAAATGCTCGTTTTTTTCCCCTTTTTTGCCCCTAATTCCTAAAATTTTGAGGCAATTACCCCCAAAATCAATCCCAGCCTTCCCTTCGTGGTATGGTACCTTGCAGTACAATTTCAGAGAGATCCATACACTTGAACACAAGTTATTGTCTGGAAACTAGAAAAATGCTTATTTTTGGCCCCTTTTTGGCCCCTTATTCCTAAACATTTTTGGCAATTACCCCCAAAATCAATTCCAGCTTTCCCTTTGTGATATGGAACCTTGTAGTACAATGTCAGAAAGATCCATACACTTACACATAAGTTAATGTCATGAAACTAGAAAAATGCTTGTTTTTTACCCCTTTTTTGGCCCCTAATTCCTAAAATTTTGAGGCAATTTACCCCCAAAATCAATCCCAGCATTCCCTTTGTGATATGGATATTGTGGTACAATGTCAGAGAGATCCATACACTAACACACAAGTTATGTCTGGAAGTTACAAAAATGCTTATTTTTGGCCCCTAATTCCTTAACTGTTGGTACCATAACCCCCAAAATCAATCCCAACCTTCCTTTTGTAGTATTGAACCTAAAGGTAAAATTTCATAGAGATCCATTCACTTAAACTAAAGTTAGAGTGCGAAAACCAATGTGTGTTTGGACGACGACGCCAACATCATACCAATATTTTGACCGCAAAATTTTTTTGCGGTCGTATAAAAACTGCAAAATTTCCTTAAAATTACCCATCTAGTGGCAGCAACCCAACAATGGATTGTTAGATTCATCAGAAAATATAATGGCTGATAGAACTTCACATAATGAACAATTTTGCCTCACATAATATTTGCTCTAAATGCCTTAGTGTTTGAGATATAAGCCAAAAACTGCATTTTACCCCTATGTTCTATTTTTAGACATGGCAGCCATGTTTATTGATGAAACAGAAAATAAAACACAAGCTTTATTCTAAATACCGTAGGGTCATATGCATTCAGCCTAAGTTTGGTTGGAATTGGTTCAGTAGTTTCAGAGGAGAAGATTTTTTAAAGTTAGAAAACATGATAAACAAATTGTGTAAAATTGTCGTAAATGTGCAATAACTCCTTAAGAGGTCCATTGACAATTTTGGTTATGAAACTTATTTGTAGATCTTACTTTGCTGAACATTTTTGCTGTTTACAGTTTATCTTTATCATTAATAATATTCAAGATAATAACCAAAAACTGCAAATTTTCCTTGAAATTACCAATTTAGTGACAGCAACCCAATAATCATGACAATGTATTATTAGATTTATCAGAAAATTTCAGGGCTGATAGAACTTTTAACACTGAAGAAACAAAAAACAATACACAAACTTTATTGAAGTTACCTTAAAGATCATTCAGCTTAAGTTTGGTAGGAATTGGTTCAGTAGAGGAGAAGATGTGTGAAATAGTTTACACCCGACAGACGCCAATGGTTGATGACAGACAACGACAGAAGACAACGGACGCCAAGTGATGGCAAAATCTCACTGTTCCTTCGGAACGATGAGCTAAAAAGACAAATTTAAAAAATTGCGCTAGCTCTATCCAAAAAAGATTTTTATAGTGTAGTGTACTACTTTTGGGACAGGACATATTAACATAATAGAAAAATCTATAAGCTATAACTCAAAATATGGACAATTTTATGTTCAAAGGGTCTATAATTTAGTTTTGACAACTTCAGACATACTAATATTTGACCTTTTCAAACTATACCAAATCACTACTTTAAAAAGGATGTTCACTACTCTGTTTCAAAATAACAAGCTTTTTAAAAGACTGTTATAAATTGAAAGTATATGAATAAAGGAACTAAAAAAACAGAAAAAATGAAGGGTCTGTGTGCTTGTTTTTAAGATATAAGCCATTAAAAATTTGGCGGGAAGTGATTCTCTCCAGATTTTTCATACACTTAACACTGGCACCTTTTTCTTTCAAAAGCTATGGAAAAATAACAAGGATTTTATAAGATTTTCAAATATGGCTTTTTAAACTAAGTAATAAAATATGAAAAGAAAAGTAGGGGTTTGCGGGCACTGCATGGATAAAACCAGAGGATTCCGAATATCTGGTAAAAATCCAAATTAAGAGGAGCGAACATCCTTAACCTAAAAAAAATTGCCACATTTTTTTCCAATGTAATTTCATCATGTTCATCCGAAAATAATTTGCAAGTTATACACTATCCACACTAGAGACCTAATAGAGTAGAAATACTTATTTTAATCAAACTTGGCATGAACTAAGATTAGGGAATTATAAGACAGTTTACCTAGTTTCATGGCAATAGCATATATACATTAAAGACTATAAGTTCATTCTTATGTTTGAACTTTGGGTGTTAATTTTTTGCCGTTTAAAGTTTAACGTTTAACTATCAAGACTTGGGCCTACATAATTTAAATATTGCAAAAAAATGCTTTTTAAATGTCTTTATAACTATTTATATATAATTGTGCATGTACATGATGTATTTTAATGTAAAGCAGCTGAATACTCATTTGCTGTCTCAGATTTATTTCAATATTTCAAAAGTCGAATTTATATGAGCATAGCCTAAAAATAGAGATTTCAAAATTAAGGGGGGGTGGAGGAGGCTAATATAAAAATTCTTCATGTATATTTAAAAACCTTACATCGACAGGAAGGCGTCAAAGCAAAAATTTAAAATAGCCTTCCAAGACGTCATAATTATTTAGACTACATTAGGCATTGCAAGACTGAATAACATTTAAGGTCAATATAGGCAGTAACACATTTTTACATGTATATGAAAAGGCATACACATAAGCTAGAGGAAATAAAAATGTGTTTCTTTTTGGTAATTTGTAGGCTAAGGTGACATCATACAAGAAGTATGAGTGATTCTCAAACTAAAATAAAATAATTGCATCCCCCTACTTCATTGTACTTACTTTTTATGCATAAAAAATATAAATAAATAAATTTTGAAGTATTAATACATGGTCCACACTAGAGAATCTTTTTTGTAAAAAATGAAAATCAATGGATGATAACTGTGTACTTGGACTAACAATTAAGATTTCACATGCTGAAATGTCTCGTCAGCCCAATCTCAATCAGTGAAATAATTTTTTTTTTTTTTTTTTTTTTAAAGCCATATGGAAGTAGTCCAAATAATTATGCAAGGCTTTTTTTTTCTCTCTGACGCCGTAGGAAGGAGAAGTGAGTTGACATAACATGTATGTTATCATGCAAAATCAACAGTAAATTTTTGAGTATACCTAGCTATGATTGTCATCGTCACTGCAAATGGATCATTTATACTAGGGGGAATGGAACCAATAAATTGATCGGATCCGATATGAAGTTCCCAGTAACGGAGAACCTATAACTTTGAGGTAATATTTTTAGTGTCGGTGGTCTCGCAAATGAATCAGGGTGAATTGCAGGTTCATTACTTAGCAGAGAATAGACAATTATCAACTTGTTATTCATTATCTCGCAGTTATTTACGGTAAATTAGCTGTATATCCCAAAACAGGTGCTCGGAGCTAGTACTAGTCTATGACTTTAAGTAACAATTATATTTATATTCACAATCAGTGGGGGATCGAAGGGGGATGGGATCCGGGGGTTTGACTCCCCTTTTTGTGAACGATCAATGCATTTAATGGAGACATATATTTGGACCCCTTTATCCTGGCTGGAATCGCCCCTGATATCATATTACATGTAAATCAAGTCCCGGGTTACTGTAGAGCATAATAGCATAATGGTAATCACAAAGAGTGTGGTAATTTTAAAAAGGACGGGGATTTATAAATATACAATTCTTGAAGAGGGGGAGAGTGCACTTCACGATGATCGAAAAAGTGCCTTGCACGTTATTTTCATCATCTTGTCTGAAACAGAACTGAGACTACTATAACACAGTCATGTGTGTTATAGTAGTCTCAGAACAGAATAATGAGCTTCAAGGCGAAGCGCGAAAACAATAAGTCATGTGAAATACTAATGACAACCACGTTGTACGGACAAATCCTTAAATCCCTCAATGTTATGTCAAATGAATTATAGTGAGGAAAGGTAAATTTAATTTAATATCAAAACTAAATATTTGTTATATTTCGCTCCTGATTTCTCAAGAAATCATAGAATCAATAAATGTGTAAATTTCAATTAGGCCTATGCATGTCTGTGTGAGATCCATTTCATGAGACCAAGGATTTCTATCAAATCCTTGATGGGACCCTTTATATATACAGTTTTCTATTTTCCCTGGAAAAAATAAAAAAAATATAATCTTTTGGTAAATAATCCGATTTTGTTGAATTATTTCCCTTCATAATTATGATAAATCCTTTTAGTTCTTCAATTTTAAATTAAAATAAATATTTCATTTTGATCTAACGACAAACTTTTTAAATTGTAGTGGCATGGTCAGTCAACTGATTAGTTGCATGGCTGATTACCAGTTTACTGGTGACCCAGTATTCCATATGACAGTGGCGTGTACCCTTGGGGTGTGTATAACTTATTTTGAATACCTTAATTTTCTGGGGAACATCCTGTCCACGTGTAATACTTAGTATATATTGCAACAGATGACATTAAACAAATTTTCTATGTAGCATCGGTGTTTATTTCATGTTCAACCACTCAAAATTTTCACAAAAAAGATAATATAATAAAATCATTAAAAAAAAGATTAAAAAAAAGATGAAACACTAGCAAAAAAACTTCGCAATGAGTAAACGGGGATTTGTGTTTTAAAGGGCTTATTTCCAGTGGATATATTTCATACTAGATAACTAGACCTGAGATAACTTTTTTTTTGTAATATATATTTCATTATTTTCATATCATTCTCAAATCTCGATCATCTTAAATAAAGATGTACAAAAAAATAATTTTGTTATAACTCATAAATATATGGTTAATGATCATAATTGTTACAAATTATAAAATGGTAAGTCAATGCCCGATGTGCCGCCGTCTGTTGCAAAACTACGATTTAATCTTTTAAATGAAAGACGTGCACTGCCTTCATCGGAACAGAGGAAAGTCCACCTAGTGAACATTAAAGAGTATCCGTTTGTTATGCTGAAAAAAAATCATCATAAACTTTTTAGTAGACCTTCTCGTGTAAAAAAAATCAAACTTTTAACTGAATTAAACAAAAAATTATCAAACACAACTCATTAGAAGTCACTCATAGTAACATTTTGTTTAGACATGAGATAACTTATAGTAAGATCATTTATACAGAACAATTAAAAAAAAAATGTCCGATCTGATACACGTACCTATAATGTACAAAATTTTGAACAGCTTCAAATATATGGCCTTATCATTGGTAATACATCATATTTGTATCAGTTATTGCTGAACGTGTAACCAAATTAAAATGAAGAAATAGGCTCGAAACCGCATTTTTTTAAAATATTTTTTCAATCCCAAAATAGATAATAGATATGCAGATTAAAGTCCAGATGAGAAGATTAACTTTCTTTTCTACCGAAGTAAATATATTAACAAGGATTTAGGATATCAATAAATTATTAAATTCATCAATTTATTAAATTTGAACATGTGAACCAAACAACGAAAAAAAAAAAATAAACGGGAAATTGGCTATACCTTTTTGGTATTAGCCATGAAGCCATGTATGTACCAGCCATTTAAACTTATTGTTTTCTTCACCTTTAAAGAATACATTTTAAAATGAACTACTTTATTTATAGAAGTTCAAGAAAAAAATATGTATATAATTGTCGAAATCCGGATATGGTGTACAAATTTTTGCACCTCATGTTTGCGGTTTACCATCTTTTCCGCAAGTTTATTGTTTTTTGTTTGGTAATAAATTAATAATAATAAGATCTATTTACATCTTGTGATCCGTTTATTTGGCAATCGCCAATGGCAGTCAGCAGGGTTTAAGAACATCAGTTGTTCGACCTGCTAGTCAAATGCGTTTTGTTAAAATATACCTTTTCACTCATTTGGTCTTTTGGAAAATGTTGTTTGTGCTGTATTTAGACCCCACTACCAAGAAATTTGTTTTGCATGCACACGTATAAAAATTGCGGTTTTTATCCAACGCAATCATAGGTTTGAACGTTGTTTTCAATTTAGACTTGTATATATATATATATTAGATAACTGGCTTTCCTTTATATTCAATGGAACAAGAAGCGAATTCGTTAGCGAACTAGAGTAACTTTAGAAATAGCGTCGTTACAGGTCTTCTTCTGACCGGCAATAAATCCATAGCAGTAATGATAGTGGAACGTCCATTGGGCTGTGCTCAGCCACGTCCGAATGGGGACGTTGAATCCTTGCAACAACTCTTCGAGTGGACTGTAAGTAGCCTGGTATTAGGCCAATTTTCTGTACCTCCTTTCTCGTTGGCAGTCGAAATTTTCCGACCGTATCACGGGCGGTCTCAATTACAAGACCTACATGTACCTTTCATATATTATTCGGTACGTCAGACACACCCGACATTAATCAACCAAAAACTCAATATTTTACAGTAGGCCTAGGGAATGAATATCTCCCACGTTCACTTGTCCCTTGAAGGATCAATATTGAATTTCTTCCATCCCCTTTTATAAGATTACATTATGACGTATGTTTTTTTTTTCAATTTTAGGAAAGACCAACAAATCGATTTTTATCACCAAATTTGTCTTTGCTGAGATTAACACTAAAAAAGTATAACAAAACGTAACGATTGAAAACTCACAGTTCAGTTTTTAAGATATTTTTTTTCTTTGGAAACACACAGACTAATTTTCAAAAAGTTTTTATCTTGAACCATTATTTATTAAAACGAATTTGTAAACAAAAGTTATTCTTAAATATTAATAATGATCAATGATTGTAAAGAAAAAAATCCATCATAGTAGTTTGTTAATTTACTGGCTCCATGGTGTTAAACATGTCACCTTTCTTTTACAAATAACTGATTAAAAATATGAAGCCTTTACTGTAAAATAAATCATTCTAATAAAAATAAATTCATCCAGATTTTTCTCTCATAACCTTTCAACAGTTATTGTAAACTAACTTATTCGAACTATAATAGTCCTATGACTTGCTGTCCGTTTACTAATATTTATACTTTATAAAGTGTTTTCATATTCATTGATCATTAACTTCATGTTTTGCGAATATTTATAAGGGGATAATTATTATAGCCAGTAATAGCTAACAATTTATCTAAAGAAAACGAGATGCTATATTCAAATTCTGAGATATGAATCTAGTTCTTTAAAAAAAATTCTCAACAACAAAATTCTACACTTGCATTTATCTAGGTCTTTTTGTCTCCGATTCGAAGCCGCCATCCCGTATATATATATATACCAAACATATCTATTCGTTTGGCAATATACAATCATGTAAGCAATATACAACAGGCAGTAGATCTGAATTTGTAAATTGTTATTTTGGATTTTACCTGATTAGGACGTGTCTCGTTGAATTTTCTAATAAACTTACACACACATAATCTGACTTTTAATCGTAATGTTATGAGATCTATAAGAACATAGAGCTACTGTATAGGCCTAGTTGCATGCAAGTCTTTACAAATTATATATTTTGGTATGCTATAGCAGAGACATATAATAAATGTATTATATGTCTCTGGCTATAGTTTTTTTGTTTTTTTAGTTTTTGACATGGCGTTGACTCGAGTTTGATATATTATGCATTTTTTGTGCTGTATTTTAACAATTATTTACAAGCATGCTGCATGTTTACACATTCATCACTATACCGCATCTAAATATAGCTTTATTGTAAAAAAAATAAGGAGATGTAGTATGATTGGTGATGAGACAACTATCAACCAGAATTTAAAATGTCTGATATAAGCAATTAATACTTACTTTCTTTACTCAGAGTGATCGTAAATTAATCAGATAAGCTCGAGGAGGGGTGGGGGCTTCATATTAAAAGAAAAGAAATTAGCATTAGCTTCAGTTTTGTGATAACAATATAATAAACTCACAGTAACAGAAATAGCTCTTGAAAGCTGTCAGATCCCGGCACTTTTAACTGTTTTTTGACGCGTGCTAAAAAATGCAGCACCTGGTTACAGGGGCTCATTTTACAAATTATCATCTTTCGTAATTTAAGTTATAAAATCTAAATTTTAAGTGATCTGAAATGTTCATGACTGACGAGTATTTTCACTTGTACGATTTTTCTGTGAAATGAGTCTAAGAGTATATACATGATCATACATGTGTATCGGGATACTGACTGCATAGTAAAATATTTATGTACCTATTAGTTGCGGCTCATTTTGGTCTTTTAAGTAAGTTTCCTTCCCCTGCATTACTTGATCGCTTTTGTAAAAAATAAACAGCACAACAACAACAGCACTC